ATTTGGTTTTTTCGCCTACCTGGTAGCAACTCGTCACAACTCCTCGGTATTGGCGGTTAGGCATTGGTAAGTGTGGGGTTAAATAGATGAAAGGGGAGAAGGGAGTGCCATCGCCTCTCCCCACAGTCTAGGGTAGCCCAGTAAAGGGCTCCGGGGGGCGTGGCCCTGTCCGAAGCCTATGGAGGTGTGGGCCGAAGGCACGCCCCCGAGCGGTGACCCCAGGGGAGCTCCTAGTTGATGTGCATCAGCAGGGCTCCCCCTCCTGGTGGTTAACCCTTTCCGGTCTTCATACAATCGGGCTGAAGCCGGATAGTCGATAGGACCAATGCCTAAGCCAATACCGCTCATTCCTGTAATCAATAAAGTTGTGGCCTATTTCGCCCATTAACCTTATTCATGGTGTCCTGTGTCTTTATTTCTGCTGGGGTGTGTGGGAACTCGCCATGCAATGTAACTCCACTGGAAGAGGCAGTTATGCCCCCCCAAAAAACCCCTCCCGAAAGCAATTGATTTGTTGCAGTGGGGAGGGGGCAAATCTTTGAGGAGCAGCAAATGAGACAGGGAGCTGTTTTGTGGATCACAGGAAACGTTTGCAGCGGAGTATCTGCAACCCAGAACAGTGCCAAACCTTGTCCTTTGTGTGGGTTTGTACTGGCTGACTATATTTATATATATGTACTCCTTTTCGCATTTTTAGAAATGTGATACGTATATTGTGTTCAGTGTGGGTGGGACCACATATTCAAGATCTAATACCTCATTAATTTTGCCGGCTGCTTCTTCGTGCTTCTTTTTCCTGTGGGTAGCTTTCGTTGTTGTTGCTTCTTTTTCCAGTAACAAAGGAACCTGCTATTATATTTATAGTCCTGGCCCCCTTTTTTAATTTTAATTTTATTATATATATTTTTGGAAGCAGGAGTCAAAGCCTTGTTCCCATGGTAACGTCTCTGTGCCACTGATGTAATTCTCTTCAGCTGAGGGATGGGAGAGAGAATAGCCCGTCAGTCCTTGCCAGTCCTCGAGTGCTTCTGCAAACTCTCCCCAAGGCCCTTGGATGGGGCAGAGCTGACGCTGGCTGCAAGCTCAGCATGTGGCTTTCAGCTTTTGTTGTGAACTGCAAAGGAGAATCCCTTTCTTGTCAAGAACATTGTTTGAAGCCCTGTCTCAGAAGGGTTTGAGGTTGGTTTCCATAAAGACACGGGCATCCTCTTTTGTTTGGCTGAGCCAAGCCCTGGGGACTAGGACTTTGGAAGCAACAGACAGTGGGACCTTTCCATAGGGCCTCCCTTTTACTTGGTTGCAAATACCGTATTTTTTGCTCTATAAGACTCACTTTTTCCCTCCTAAAAATTAAGGGGAAATGTGTGTGTGTGTCTTATGGAGCGAATGTAGGCTGCGCAGCTATCCCAGAAGTCAGAACAGCAAGAGGGATTGCTGCTTTCGCTGCGCAGCGATCCCTCTTGCTGTTCTGGCTTCTGGGATTCAGAATATTTTTTTCTTCTTGTTCTCCTCCAAAAACTAGGTGCGTCTTATGGTCTGGTGCGTCTTATAGAGCGAAAAATGCGGTAGCTTTGGGGCTTTAACAAAAGAGGGGGGAAGTGGCGTGCAAGTTTAATAAAGTTACAGTAATGGCTTGAAGGCTTTTAAGTGAAAATTGATAGAGGAATAAAAGGGCGAGCAAAAGTTGGGTGTCCACATAGACGTTGGCAGTGTCAGTGAGTTGACTGATTATGTTTACAATGATTCTCAGCCACTCCGGGGCCGAAGAGTATGGTACAAACGCTCCAAATAAACAATCAAACAGATAACACTTTTAACTAAAAATAAATAAAAGTGGAGTTGTTTTTTCCACGACCCACCTTAGGCTGAGTCCAGTGCCAAAATCAAGAAAGCGAATGAGCGTGAGATTAAATAATTTATTACCGTTGCTAAGATGGAACACACAATGCCTGGCACCCCCATTATATGGTGAATTGTAAAAAAATAGCTTTAATACAGTATCAAAATTTACATACGCGTCGTGGCAAAAGACCAGCATCACTCAAATTAGCGGCCGCAGGGCGTGGCTGGGATCCAAAGAACCAGAAAACTGGATCCAAACTCTCATGGGATTGTGGGGGTTTGAGGTTTCGGACTTTTCTTCTTTGAACAGCACCTCCACCTGCCCCAGCAGCAAGCTACTTCTACAGCCAAAGGGCGTTTTCCAAAGCAGTTTGCAATATGGGATTGGGAAGGACAGCTCTTCAATGAAAAATAGTCAGACAACCTCCCTGGACAAACTCAAAAACAGCTCTTTGGACCCAGCCCTTGACTGCAAGCACAATTTCTTTTGAGGGTTTCTTTTCTTTTCGCCGTTTGTTCCTCGCACGATTATAGGAATACAACAATTTAAAGAGAAATAGCCGAAGTGGTGGTTTTCATTAGCATGACGTCGTTAAAAAGGGGGGTGGGGAAAGGAAAGGAAAAAATTAGCAAAGCGACCGAGCCACTAAAACAAATCAATCCCTTTGTGATTTCTTCTTCTTCCTTCTAGAAAACGGGTAGCAAATTGACGCTTGCGCTACCATGTATAGGGCGAAAGGGTTGTACCGACACAGTGCCGCCACATTCCACGACCCACAGATCAATAACACAACATGTAACAAAGCCCATCTGGCAGGGGGAGAGGAGGGGAGGATATAAGCTTGGGGAACCCAATCTCATTAATCAAGGGGGAGGGGAATTGTTGCATTCCTATGTTTGCCTTGGTTTTGTTTTGTTTGCTTTTTTGCTTTAAATACTCAGCTATGGTTAGAAAGTCAAAGCAACAGCATCTATTCACAAGCCTGTTGCACATTCATACGAGAAACTGTTGCTGCATTTTGAGATATACACAAAATAGCTATCAGAGCTGAATACACACAATCTAATGGCATATGAAGGGGGGTTGGGAAATGGGGGGGGGGAGAGAGAGAGAGAAATGTCAACGTAAGCCCACCCAGGTCCAGAAACTCAGGCACAACGGACAAGAGTTTAAAACCTTGGATGAAGGAAGGACATGCTCTTGAGAATATTCAACGTTTCCTTTGAAAAGATGCGACCATCAGCAACAAAAGCTTTCTTCTTCGTCTTCTTATTCTCATAAATACAGCGCTACCTTGATAAGCTCTTATAGACTCCTGTGAAGCAAAATATTTGTGTGGTCAAGGAAATGGATGAAGGAAGTCACTCAGTACTCAGAAAGGACACCCGGCAGGATTTGGCAGAGTGGAGGATTCAAATATTTAATCCTAAAGCCCACGGGACGGGACGAGTATATAAGCATTTGGGAAGGAGTGTGTTTTTCAACAGGTTTGAGGCTTGGTTCGTTGTGCTCTCTGACGTCACAACTCAACTCAGGGCTCTGCAACAGCGCAGCAGAAGACAGCACCAGGAAACCAGGAACATCCAGCACGGACAATTGTTATTTAGGTGTTGTAGACAGCTTCTACGTGGCACAGAAAAATGGGTTCATATGTTGGGAGTCAAGGTGGTTGGGGAGACCCAGGCAGTATTCTAAAGCTAACAGCTGTGATGTCATCTACATGAGAGCATACTTACTATGTCATAATAAGGAGTCAGGACTAGGGGAGGGGAGGAATTTGTTCACTCCACACGCGGGAGCCAACTAACCTGTCCCAGGCCTCCTAGAGCTTTGTACGACCTGGAACACAGCCATGCGGTTCAACTCGCACGCTCTGTTTTTGGTTGTCTGCACTGCCTGGGTCCAAACTATCTAGGATCTAGCCTCAAGTTAATATGGATCAGGCCTTTTAGAGGGTTCCAGGCCTGAACGCCCAAAACCTGCTGGAACTGATGGGTTGTAAATCATGTGTGCATGCACACACACATCCAGCTAAGTTGCCAGAGGGTCTAACCAGGATCTTGGACCTCAGATGCTTCCATGCACACCTGGTGCATTCAGAACAGCTGGCTACCATGGAAGCCGAACTTTCCAGGGTGCATCATTCCATGGAGTTGGACTACCCAGGATGCACAACATTTCTGCTGGAGTAGCCAGAGCTCTGATGAAGCTTATGCCCCGGAGACCTCAAACTGGGTCCTCTCCACTGCCTTAGGCCACTCACATTACTCATCAAAAGCAGCAAGAGCAACATGCGATTTCCCAGAAGTACTGGCTGCTTCCTCTACATCCTGAGTAGCTGGCCACTTCAGCACCACTAAGATCTACTTGCCCGAGCATTCAAAAGAGCAGTCAGTGCCTTAAAACACTTTATAAGATCTTCAGGCCACAAATTTAGTCCTCCCTTCTCCCCCCCCCCCGGTAATGCAAGCAGAGAGGCAGTAAGGAGGACCCCATAGAGTCCCAGACACCAGGCTCTGGTGCAGAATCATCAATATGTGCCAGGGTCTTAAAGGCCAGATCCAAGACTAGCAGAAAGCAGCACCAAGACTTCCATAAGTGCAATGGGGCTTCCCCCCTCTACTCCCCGTGCACCCCTCAAGTTGGCTCTGGGGGTGGTCAGGAGAACCCCTCAAACAGTGCACTGGAGCAGGAAAAGGAGAACATTATGCCTCCCAAACTGAAATGTTTGCCCTGATGGAATGATTGTCATAATGCTACAACGACTTCCACCCCAAGTTGTAATCCAGAACAGGGTTTCCCAAACTTGGGTCTCCAGCTGTTTTTGGACTACAATTCCCATCTTCCCTCGCTAGCAAGACCAGTGGTCAGGGATGATGGGAACTGTAGTCCAAAAACAGCCAGAGACCCAAGTTTGGGGAAGCCTGATCTAGAATCAAGGTTAATTTTCTGGACAGCATCCATGAAATTAACTTGGATGCTCTGTATAATGTATGAGCAGGTATGTGCAATCCTCACAAGGAGCTGGAAACTGGGGCTCTTTGGATCTGGAAAAAGCCTTTAGCATCTGGCCAGCGTGAAAAGCCTAGCACAGCCTTTCTCAACCTGTGGGTCCCCAGATGTTGTTGAACTACAACTCCCATCACCCCTAGCTAGCAAGGCCAGAGCTCAGGGATGATGGGAGTTGTAGTCCAACAACATCTGGGGACCCACAGGTTGAGAACCGCTGGCCTAGCAAGTGAATTCAGCAGAATTCTACATCCCCTTGCCAGCTTCTGTTCTACCCTGGTGAACTTCTGGAAGCCAAAACTCTAGAAGTCCTCCATTGCCTTTGCTTCATCTCTCTTCCTCCAACGGGCCTCCCTCGCACAACCCTCTCCTACTTTTTTGGACTGCCTCTTCGGCTTGTGCCTGGTAAAACACAGAACATACCTGATCCCAAATCAGACTCCCTAATATCGCACTACTGCCACCTAGCAACTAGGCTCCTGATCTTTGCTGGGAGACTGCCCATCCATCAGCCCAGCTCCTTGATCTATCTGGTCTCTCAGAGAGGGAATTCCCGCTCTTTACAAGACAGACTCATCGCTGCTCCATTCCTGGGGTTGCCTCAGCATTGGCCTTCAAGCTTAAGAGAGGAATGCCTTCTCTTAAGAGGAGAAATGCCACCTCTTCGGAAGACATTTGCCAAAACGAATGAAAACAAATGAATTCTTTTTGTTTCGGGTGTGGGGGGGCTGTTTTAGTGCTGTTGTTTTCTTTGCTACACTACTGGCTGGTTAGGAGACTTGAAGGTCTTATATTTAGCACCTCAGAATGCAATTACTCTACAAAGGAAAGTGTTTCAGCTGCAATCTGCCTAAGCACCATATTAACTAACTTTTTTTTTTAACACACCCTGGAGAACCTAACTGTCCAAACTGGGATGGCCAAAAGGCACAGTTTGTAGGTATCTTTCCAATCTGGTGAAAAGCTCCTGGGGAAATGTCACAGGAAGGCCGACACATTAAGCATTTCCTCCATGTGGGTTCTCCTCCTGCAGCAGGTTTTAAACAGCCTTCAGGATTATCAGCTGGTACCTCCGGGGCGTATGCACTGTAAATGCTCATGGCAGAAGCAGAGTTGGATTAGTCAGAATATATATTGAGTGTGATGAGATCCAGATACTTTTCGCCAAAGTCCTTGCAGGAACGGAGGGAGCGGGGAGAGCAATCCAGTTTCCAGAGGTGATCACAGAACATGAATGAAGTTGTCTCATTGTTAGGAAAGAGGTTGCTTTGACAAGACTAAATCCAAATGTAGCTGAAATTGTTCCTTTGTTCCTTAAAAAAATATCCATTCACATAGGCCCTTTGTACTGGTTTCCAGACAAGTGTTGCCTAATTCCAGGACACGAGCCGACAGCATCTCCAAGTTTCCTCCACACAACCTGAAAACAGAAAGAGAAAAGCATGTCAGTAGATTTCGCCAGGATCCAGCAGTTAGTCACACAACCCTACACATTCTAAACAGATGCTTACTAGCCTTCTTCGCACATCTTGGTAAACAAAACCATGGCTCACTGGATCGGCACAGACATGATGGTTCCTGAAGGGAAGCACACATCCACTTTGCTCCTTCCTGATCCTTTTACCAAAATGCAGCATTAACTTTTGACTTAGTGTGTTGTCCAAACTGGAAATCGTGGTCATGGGCTCTCTGTTGGGAAACTGTGTATGTGCAGCTACTCACACAGAGTCAATTAAGGTTTGGCAGACAGCCAGAAGGCAATCTGAAGGAGTAAGTCTGCCTGGTGATAACAGAGACATGCAGACAGCTCCTGATTGGTCAAGCTCTTTCAAGGGAATGATAATTAATGGCCCACTAACTGGAATGTGTTAGTTCAGGAGTTCAGAGGTTCAGAGTTCTGTGTGTCAGTGTAGGAGTTGTGAGTCGTGTCAGAGAGAGAAAGCAAAAGATCTGCGTTCTGTTCCTATAAATAGTCCACTGTCTATAATAAACACCTAACTACAAGTGCCTGGTTCCTGCTTCATCTATCCTGTCTGCAACCAAGTCGCCAATTGCTTCCATGGATTCTGCGTGTGCTCTGCTAGATCTGGCTAAGGTCCTGCAACTAGTCAGAAAGTTGCAAAGTGCCAATAGGGTTTGCCAATACTCTCTTCCTTAACCATGGTTGTTAACAATAGGATGAAGCTTGGCTACATTAACCGTGGTCCTAGTTGGCTACATTAACCATGGCATGCTAAGCCAAACCTTGGTTTAGTTGCCACACCACACTGTGCTAAAAAAAAGGACTGGGGTGAAAGAAGCAGGCATAAGCTTCCCTCTGGGAGCCAGCACATTCCTCTGGTCCCAGTAAAACATGGCTTGGCTTACTTTGACATGTGAACCACGCCATTCTGTAAAGTCATCATACTGTGTTGTTTTTTTTAATAGAGAAAGTGTTGATTAACTCAGATAACTAAGAGCTAGCTCATATGTTTTGGCTGCCATCAGGAAGGTCAGCTGTAACTATGCGACACAAGATTGGCATGTTAGGAGTAGCTTTGCCCCCATCAACTGGTATATGATATTTTAGGAATATCTATACCACACTGATGCCTTGTCACCTGATGAGTCCTTCGAAGAACATTAGAACTAGGAGGGCAGAAAGAACCGGCCAAAGGGATGCCATTACTGTGGTACCTTGGGTTACATACGCTTCAGGTTACATACGCTTCAGGTTACGGACTCCGCTAACCCAGAAATAGTGCTTCAGGTTAAGAACTTTGCTTCAGGATGAGAACAGAAATCGTGCTCCGGTGGCACGGCGGCAGCAGGAGGCCCCATTAGCTAAAGTGGTGCTTCAGGTTAAGAACAGTTTCAGGTTAAGAACGGACCTCCGGAACGAATTAAGTACTTAACCCGATGTACCAATGTATTGTATTCCCTTCCAACCCTACAAGTCTCTGATTCTGTTATCCCGCTTAATCAAACAATCCCCTCCAAGCGGTTTACGTAAGTGCCATAAGAAAATACAAATAGAATCGATAAGATTTTGAAAACCAGCAGACCTAATGGAATTATCAAAACACGAATAAAATGCGTAATAAAATGTCTGGTTAGGCTTAGCTAAATGAAATGTGCTTGGAAAACGTTTAGCGAGCTTTCAAGTTTTGTTTTGTTTTTCACCACAGCAGCATACACATTCATTAAATAATTATTTTAATGGCAATACCAAGAAAGAAGAAGCCGCCACAGATTATTATTTTAGCACGAAGGCTAATTTTTCAGGTGACTTCTGCATCAGCCTGGCTACGGACAAGTGGTTCTTAGATTCAGTGACCATTCTTCCCATATACGGTAACCATTTGACATGCATTTACCAGAATTAGCCTGCTCCCTGCCCCCATCCTTTCTCTCTCTTTTTTTAAAAGATATTTATTGGAATTTTGCAAAATGAAAAAAGAAGGAAAAAAAGAAAAATACAATACAAAATACAAAATACAAAATAAAAATAGTTAAAAAAAACAATTCCATCTTTCCATCACTTTCTTTCATTTGCTTGTTTGCCCCCATCCTTTCTCTTGTATTGTGTCTAATAGGCAGAGATCCACCTGTATTATCATATCAGCATTGGTGTTCTAACATGTAACAGAACCAATAAAAGCTTCCTAGATCTGATCAACTCATTTTTGATGTTCACCAGGCGTAGAAAGTTTGTTTGCCACATGGGCTGTGAGGTGTCAGAACATCCGAATAACCAGCTAGCACACCGAAGGAAAACCAACCTGTGACTGCTTATCCTTCTCAGTCACACATACAATTTAAAAAAATAACGGGGAGGAATGCAGATCTGCACAGACTATCTGCAAAACTTCTTACCCAGACCTATTACTAAATGTACCATATGCGAATCTAATGCGCACCTCGATTTTCAAAACCTTGAAACCAAAAAAGTACTTGCTGGCGAATGTAAATATGCCATCGAATCTAATGTGCACCCTAATTTTCATGATGTGATTTGGCCAAAGAAGGTGCGCATTGCATTCAAGTAAATGTGGCACAACAGCAGCTCTGGGAAATGATGCGATCCATGTTCTCCACTGGTGACCACCCATGTTTGTGTAGGTGGTGGTAGAGAGGAGTAATAATAATAATAATAATAATAATAATAATAACAACAATAATAATATTTTTTATTTATACCCCGCCCTCCCCAGCCTCAGGGCGGCTAACAAGCAATAATAAAAACAAGTTGAATGAATACAACTTAAAAACAAGATTAAAATGCAACATTAAAATATTGAAACATTAAAATATTAAAATGCAGCCTCATCACAGGAGAAAGGAAAAAGTAAGAGGGGGGAGGGAATCAAACTGGCTCCAAGCCAAAGGCCAGGCAGAACAACTCTGTCTTACAGGCCCTGAGGAAAGAAATCAGATCCCACAGGGCCCTGGTCTCATGAGGCACAGCGTTCCACCAGGCGGGAGTCAGTCTTGAAAAGGCCCTGGCTCTGGTTGAGGCTAATCTAATTTCCTTAGGGCCCGGGACCTCTAGAGTGTTGCTATTTATGGACCTTAAGGTCCCCCATGGGGCAATACTGGGAGAGGCGGTCCCATAGGCACGAGGGTCCTAGGCCATGAAGGGCTTTAAAGGTCAAAAGCAGCACCTTAAATCTGACCCTGTACTCCACCGGGAGCCAGTGCAGCTGGAAAAGCACTGGGTGAATATGCTCCCATGGCAGAGACCCCGTGAGGAGCCTCGCTGCAGCATTCTGCACCCGCTGGAGTTTCTGGGACAGCTTCAAGGGCAGCCCTGCGTAGAGCGAATTACAGTAGTCAAGCCAGGAGGTGACCGTCGCATGGATCACTGTAGACAGGTACACTGCTACCTGTACTTGTACATTGATGTCTGCCCATGTGGCAATATGGACATTAAAGACAAAGGAACATTTACTGCCACTAGTAATATCATCCATGGGGTTTTGCCCTTATTGACAGAACATTGAAGAACAAGGTTTCCAAGCATCCTCCTTTTCTGTACAACAGGTATATTCGCTGAGATTCTGTGCTATTTCATGTCCCTCTTTTCCATTTTTTTGCAGAAATAAAAGGCTGCCTTTCTCGCACTCATCCGTAAAAATAGCAAGCAGCAAACCTCACATTTTGTTGCTAGGGTATCCATGCTTAGCTGAGTGTCTTTTCAAAAAGTGCTCATTATCTAAGTGCATCTCCCAACAATCCGTTTTCTGCTCAATGAGCAACAGAAAATATTTACCCAGCAGATAATGTTGATGCGGCAAGGAAGTGAGAGCTGACATTTTCAATTGCCTTTATTTCCAGGGAAAATAATGACCTCTAGCTGATATGAAGGGACACATGGAATAAAAACTGAGTTTGCAGATTGAAGGGCAGCAGCTGCTGCGATGAGAAAATTACATTGGTTTCTACCAACTTCCCCAGTACCTGCGAACATGGCAACAATTGTACTTAGATCCTAAAATTGCTTCCATGGTCAGACGTCCGAGAAACGGCACTTCCAAGCAATTAACTATGGCCATACAACTTCCATGCACGATGCAGAGACACCAATATTTTCTGCCAAAAATTACATTAGCCTGTGGACGACAAGCCTCCTATTATGTGTTCCTTTCCGACCCGCATTCCACAACGCAAAGTGAATCCCAAAATATTTTGATCCAAGGAGCTCTGCATTGGGGGAGATTATCGAAAGTGGGAGGGAGCAGGGGCGCCAGCTATAGGGGACGGAAGGGGCTTTCAGATCCCTCAATATTTCCAGGCAGGGGACTGAGCCCCCCACCCACCCAATACTGAGGGGCCCACCATCCCTCATCGCCCCTGGTGAGTGCTCGTCCTCTGGGTGGGAGGTGTGAAGGGTGATTTTCACCCTCTGTGCTCCCTGCCATGATTGCCAGATCACCTTCCCAGAAAGGTGATCCTCAAAGGGATGCCCATGAGGACTGGGGGAGGGGCACCACACATGTGACATCATGCACCTGCAACAGCCCCCCCCCCCCGAATGTTGGGCCCAACTCGGCGCACCTGGGAGGGACCTTTCTCCTCGGCACTCAGCCTGATCAGATTTCCCTAACTGAGGTCGACTCATGTACAGTGGTACCTCGGGTTACATACACTTCAGGTTACAGACTCCACTAACCCAGAAATAGTACCTCGGATTAAGAACTTTGCTTCAGGATGAGAACAGAAATTGTGCTCCAGCGGCACGGCGGCAGCAGGAGGCCCCATTAGCTAAGTGTGCTTCAGGTTAAGAACAGTTTCAGGTTAAGAACAGATCTCCGGAACGAATTAAGTACTTAACCTGAGGTACCACTGTAAATCAGGCTTTTAATGCAGCTATCTGGCAGTGAGATAAAAGTAGGGTAAAGGTAAAGGGACCCCTGGCCATTAGGTCCAGTCGTGACCAAC